TAATTAATGATTCAGTGTCTGTCCATGCCAAAGGCTGATGACATGTGAGAGTAAGGGCCATAGGCTGCTTTGGGCCACACTTTGGACAGTAAGAACATCCCCATCATTTTAAAATATTTTATCAGAACTGCTATCATTTGTGGGCCCAGAAAAGGGGGTGCAACTGGCAGCAGTGATTGTGAGTTTATCAGCAAAGGGTGACGAGTTTAGGAGAATCTAGAGAGGTTGATTTAATCACACAATGTTCTTCTAGAAGCTTTAACATAATAACGTCAGTTCAAAAGACCTTGTCAGTATTTTTCAGTGACAGTTTTCATTGCAGTATTACCTTGTGATCGTGTCATGGTACTTGCTTTTCCAAAGTGAAAACGCTTTGTCCCTTAGTAGTGCTCCTGCATTGCCACCCTTTCACATGGGCTTCAGATTGAGACGTGGCCGTTTTAACTGACATTGTCATAAAATAGTGCCACGCATATATCTCTATAACCTCATATATGAATTAAAGCATCCAGACCATGTGATTATGCAACAACAGTGAATACATCGAATACAACTTAAAAGTTCATAATGTGTTTGATCCGTGCCTTCATAATTTGTTCCCATACAGGTGCTCTTTATTGCTTATATCCACATATATTCCTATAGGTGCTCCTCCACCAGAGACATACATATATACTCTCACCTCCTTTTATGACCCAAATTGCATCGGTCAAATACCACCTTTCCCTTTTTTTTTTTTTTTTTTTTTTTTAATCTTTATTAACATTTTCCAATGACATGAAATAAAATAAACAAAACAGTAAGTCAGCATATATATTTTAACCCAGCAAAGAGGTCATAAATACAAAGGGAGCCCCCATATGACAACATATGTAAACAGACTTCTTGACCGTAGTTGCGCATAAACGGAATAATCATAACATTTAGAATTCCAGTAATTTAAACAAAGGAAATAAAAAGAAGATAAAGGAAAAGAGAGGGGAAGGGGGGGGGGACCACCTTTCCCTTTTAACCTGGGTATGTATACTGTGTAGATGACTCCACTTTCCTCCTCACTCTGCTGCAAACGGTGCCGTCTCCTCTTTATCCCACAAATCCTCCACATATGTAAACAGAAACACTTGCCATAGTGTAATATATAAATATAGCGTGATTTATTAAGAAAACAAAGTGCACTCACATTTAAAAGTGTCCTGCTGGGACACCACAGTAAAAAACATTGTTATAATGTATTTTCAATGTGTTCAGGAATTTCCAAGATGGCGGCTTGTAAACTTCCTTTTTGACGTCATTGGCCCACTCTATGTGTTACATCACGTGACTTCCTCAGGAGTTCATTCAAGTTGTATTCAGTGTATTCACCATTGTTGCAAAATCACATGGTCTGGATGTTTTAATTCATATACGAGGTTATAGCAATATATGAGCGATACTCTTTTATGACATATCTTTTGTGTGTGGAAACGCATGTCAGTGTCAGCAGCACTGGTATACACAGGAATTTGAGGAGTTATTTGTTGCGCTGAAGTTTTATGTGTACACATTTTAACTGACATAGTCCACTGTTGTCACCATCAGGAATCCCGCCCTGAAAAATGTCATGAAGCCACTATTGTGCATGCAGACAGGAAGTGACTACAAAGAGGCTGCAGGAAATCAGCAGCACCGAGATGTAGCAAAAGATGAAAAAAACAACCTCATTAGAAGAAATGAAAATTTTTTAGTATACGAAACACTTTACAAAACTATAAATCATTCACTTATTATTTACATCAACTTCAATTGTGTTTCCACATTGTGACCAGGGGTGGACTGACCATTCGGAAACTCGGGCACTGCCCGAGGGCCTGGGGTCAGTAAGGGGCCCCATGAGATGCCCCTGGTACCTTTCATAGGCTTTTTTGGGGTGTGGTTTGAGTGTAGGTGAGCGCACAGGGGCCCCATGATCTCCTATTGCCCGGAGGCCCCTTGAGTTGTCAGTTCGCCCCTGATTGTGAACCAATGGGAGTTGAGTACAGTAGCAGCATACTACTTTTCTGTGTATTTCTGTCCATACTTGCGGTGTGCTTTTTGCCTGTTATGTATATAACTTTTTCATCCACAGGGGCTAACATCCTACGAGACTCTGCAGGGAACGTCAAGTTGGGTGACTTTGGTGCAAGCAAACGTCTGCAAACAATCTGTATGTCAGGAACGGGAATTCGCTCAGTGACAGGGACGCCGTACTGGATGAGCCCAGAAGTGATCAGCGGGGAGGGTTATGGGAGAAAAGCAGATGTCTGGTAAGTAGAGAATCGCTGGACACAACCCCATGTTGATTCAAAATGGGAGCGAGCTTGTCCTACCTGGTCACTTTCTCTCCCTTCTAGTGTAGCCTGAACAGCACACGGTGGTCTTCTGTGGAGACCAGGATTGTATGTCCTCTGCTTGAAGGTTAGGGCAAGTGTGTGTACTGCATACACTGCTTATTGATGTCTCTGTCTTTTAGAGATTTTTCCTTTTCCTTCCTGTCTTGGTCTTGGAGACCCAACAGGACGTGAGAGGAAATCTCAAGTAAGGGCAGGTCCCATCTTAGACATTTGTCACCAGAGCAGGATTCCCCAGTGGAAGATTTCTCCTCACCTCCTGTTCCAGTGACAACTGTACAATTTTGGATTTCCCCTCGCTTTCTGTCCTGGTGACAGTGGTCACCAAGATAAATGGAGAAGGTGAATCTCATTGGGAATATAAGCAGCAATAAAAAATCTCACATGGATTTTAACTCTTTCTTCTTACATTCCTCCCAAAAAATGTTTGAACTACAGGTACACTTTTAATGTAATGCATTGTAGAAACCCATTACAGTTGTCAGTATAGTCATTCACAAAGTTTATTTCGCAGAAACTTTAACCACTTCTGTCGCCATTGTATATAAACGAACGGACGGTGGCTGGGTGGCTGTTTATAAACCACCGGACGGTGGCAGTGCAGGGGTGGGTGGCTGTTTATAAACGGCCGGACGGTGGCAGTGCAGGGGTGGGTGGCAGTTTATAAACGGCCGGGGTGGGTGGCTGTTTTTAAACGAACGGATGGTGGCTGTGCAGGGGTGGGTGGCTGTTTATAAACGAACGGATGGTGGCTGTGCAGGGGGGTGGGTGGCTGTTTATAAACGGCCTCCCCACACCCTGCTTGTGCACACTCCCTGGGAGCTCGCAGCACTGTGATCCGGTGCCCGCTGTGTCCTCCGGATACAGTGGAACACCGATCGTCGGACGGGACCTCTGTGCAAGGTCCCGATCATGTGATCACTGATTGGCCAATCAGTGATTACATGCAGAGTAGTAAGCAAGATGTCACTTGTGACATCATTGCTTACTACGTGTGACATCTGTGAATGATCACAGAGGTCACATGGTACAAGAATATTCACAACAGCTTTGTACCATGTGACAAGCTGTGACCAATCACAGCTCTCACAGTATTTCTTAATGGCTGCAAGAATGCAGCTAGAGAGAATGAGAAATGATTGATTTTACAGCCTTTATGGATGTAAAAGCAATCGGTGTAAAAAAAAAAAAAAAATCTTCATCACTCCCCACAAGTAGTACAGTGTAACCATGGTGACACTGTACTGCTAGGGTTGACAGTATGTATAAAAAAAAAAAAACACAATAATATAAAAAAAAAAAAAATGTTTAAAAATTTATAATTTTTGGTTATAAACTAATTTGGGTTATTTTTTTTTTTTTAATAAAAAGATAATGGAATAAATTTTGGCCAAGATTTATGATGAAATAATATTTATTTGCAAAATTTTATAAGAAAAACCATTTTTTTTTCAAAATTTTTGGACTTTTTCATTTACATAGCAAAAAAAAAAAAAAAAAAATCCCAGCGGTGAATAAATACCACCAAAATAAAGCTTTATCTGGCTCAAAGAAATGCTAAAAAAAATTTCATATGGGTACAGTGTTGCATGACCGCGCAATTGTCATTCAAAGTGTGATAGCGCTGAAAGCTGAAAATTGGCCTGGACAGGAAGGGGGTAAAAGTGGTTAAAATATGAGCAACTTGTCAGTAGAATCTGTAATGTAACTGCTGTCCCTGTGCCTTCCTACTGTACAGGAGCTTGGGTTGCACAGTGGTGGAAATGCTGACGGAGAAACCTCCCTGGGCCGAGTACGAAGCCATGGCTGCCATTTTTAAAATCGCCACCCAGCCAACCAACCCTCAGCTTCCTCCGAACACATCAGAGCAGTGCCGGGACTTTGTAAAGCGGATATTGGTGGAGGCACGGCAAAGGCCGTCAGCTGAAGAGCTGCTCCGTCACCCCTTTGCCCAACTTACGTATTGATTTCCTCCAAGCTTCCCGTTTTTTTCCCTTCATCAGCCTAGAGACTCTTCAGAGAGATGGACCTGTTGATGTCAGGGAAAGCAGTGCAATCAGGAATGAAGACAATCATTACTCCACCCCTATGCTGTGTGACGAGCGGGTTCCAGATCCAGCGTCTGGGTGGTTCCACGTCAGTGTTAAAGCGACAGAACAATGTATTCATTGGAACGATGAAATGACTTTTGAGGTTAAAGTTGCAGACATGAACTAGATGAATAGGACGACGCGGGATGACTTAGAGATGAGTTCAGACTGCGCCAAATTCTCTTCCTCTTCCGTGACAGGTGCCTTATTACCTCTTCAGCCAGGGAGCACGTAGCCTGGGATAGGCCCCATGTTAGAATGGGCTTTTCAGCCAAATGTATGAAGTTGTACATTGCAAAGGTTAGTTCCACCCCATGGCTTGACTTCTTTACTGAATGTGTTTATTATCCACAGATGTCCTCACATCTGCCATGTATACAGGGAGTATTTTATTAGGCCCATTTAATAGCAATTTAATGGTCTTAATAATCCATGAATCAATGTCCAAAGCAGCTTTCCACTCCAAGTATGCTTGTACGAAGTTTGTTGCCATGATCCTGTGTGCATTTGGAGGGATATGCCTAGAGTGCCTACTAAGTAACTTCCACACTGTGTTCTGACTCGGAGTATGTACTGAATCCCATTCTGTGCTCTCTCGTGTATGTACTGAATCCCATTCTGTGCTCTCATGTATGTATGAATCCCATTCTGTGCTCTCATGTATGTACTGAATCCCATTCTGTGAATGTATGTACTGAATCCCATTCTGTGCTCTCATGTATGTACTGAATCCCATTCTGTGCTCTCGTGTATGTACTGAATCCCATTCTGTGCTCTCATGTATGTACTGAATCCCATTCTGTGCGCTCTGAGTATGTATGAATCCCATTCTGTGCTCTCATGAGTATGTACTGAATCCCATTCTGTGCTCTCATGTATGTACTGAATCCCATTCTGTGCGCTCGATTTATGTACTGAATCCCATTCTGTGCACTCGAAGCTCTACTGTGCGCTCGGAGTATGTACTGAATCCCATTCTGTGCGCTCTGAGTATGTACTGAATCCCATTCTGTGCGCTCTGAGTATGTACTGAATCCCATTCTGTGCGCTCTGAGTATGTACTGAATCCCATTCTGTGCGCTCTGAGTATGTACTGAATGCCATTCTGTGCGCTCTGAGTATGTACTGAATGCCATTCTGTGCGCTCTGAGTATGTACTGAATCCATTCTGTGCGCTCGAGTATGTACTGAATCCCATTCTGTGCGCTCTGAGTATGTACTGAATCCCATTCTGTGCGCTCTGAGTATGTACTGAATCCATTCTGTGCACTCTGAGTATGTACTGAATCCCATTCTGTGCTCTCATGTATGTACTGAATCCCATTCTGTGCTCTCATGTATGTACTGAATCCCATTCTGTGCGCTCTGAGTATGTACTGAATCCCATTCTGTGCTCTCGTGTATGTGCTGAATCCCATTCTGTGCTCTCGTGTATGTGCTGAATCCCATTCTGTGCGCTCGTGTATGTACTGAATCCCATTCTGTGCGCTCGATTTATGTACTGAATCCCATTCTGTGCACTCGAAGTATGTACTGAATCCCATTCTGTGCACTCGAAGTATGTACTGAATCCCATTCTGTGCGCTCTGAGTATGTACTGAATCCCATTCTGTGCGTCTGAGTATGTACTGAATCCCATTCTGTGCGCTCTGAGTATGTACTGAATCCCATTCTGTGCGCTCTGAGTATGTACTGAATCCCATTCTGTGCGCTCTGAGTATGTACTGAATCCCATTCTGTGCGCTCTGAGTATGTACTGAATCTGTGCGCTCATGTACTGAATCCTATTCGTGCACTCTGAGTATGTACTGAATCCCATTCTGTGCGCTCGTGTATGTACTGAATGCCATTCTGTGCGCTCATGTATGTACTGAATCCCATTCTGTGCGCTCTGTATGTACTGAATCCCATTCTGTGCTCTCGTGTATGTACTGAATCCTATTCTGTGCACTCGTGTATGTACTGAATCCCATTCTGTGCTCTCATGTATGTACTGAATCCCATTCTGTGCGCTCAGAGCCTTGTGACTTTAATAGGTGTACTTTATGGGGTGTTATTCCAAGCTGCATTACAGAATGTCTTCTGTATGTCCATGTGGAGGATTGCACCTCAAGCCTTTCAGAGCTAAGGATCTCGTATTATAATGGACATATAGAGGCCCTTTTGTAAAGCAGTGTCAGATCTTTACCACAATCATTCTAGCGTTTTGTAGCATTTTTTTTAACAAAAAATAATTATTTTTTTATTGTCAAAAAAAGTCAAAAAATGCGGGTTTGCGGCATTTTGCCACGTTTTTTAGTGTTAGAGCGTTTTTACAGCTAAAGTCCTATAGAAGCCCACTAGTTCTGGGTTTTTTTTTCTAGCCAAAAAACGTTGATTCCAGTCTGTGTGCATGAACACATAGGAGAACATGCTGGGGGGGTTTACTGACTGTAGAAAAAAACTTCAAAAGCCAAATACAGCCGCTGTAAAAACGTCCCGTGTGCATGAGGACTAGTGGATGGCGAGGGGGGAAAAAAAAAAGTTCCATGATGTTGACAGGTGATGTGACCGGGTTCTCCTCCTATCACCTAGTGTTCTTTGCAAGAAAGAGGCTCCACACCAGGGGCGGACTGACCATTTGGAAACTCGGGCACTGCCCGAGGGCCCGGGGTCAGTAGGGGGCCCCATGAGATGCTCCTGGGACCTTTTTCATAGGCTTTTTTGAGTTTGGGCAAGGACACAGGGGCCCCATGATACCCTATTGCCCGGGGGCCCCTTGAGTTGTCAGTCCACCCCTGCTCCACACTGTCTTCCAGGAAGGAAATGTAAATGCAGGAGCAGCCTGGAGGATGTCCTGCAATGTCCTGCCCAGATTGGCTGGTTGTATCTGCTCGCTGTTGTAGCCACCTTCTATAAAGCATGTTATACATGCAGAGCTGGCAGTTGAAAGTGCCTGAAAGAATAGCTGTCTGTGCTGCTGTTGGCAACCAGTGATTCATTTTCTGCAGTCTGTAGTACTGAAGGAACAGCATGTTTGATTGCTGTAGGCTTCACAGGCTGCTCTTTTTTTTCTTTGCTGTCCATGCCTTTAGTCCTAACACCCGGAGTCCCCCCACAGCACACACAACGCAGGATAGGGAGCTGTATGCTGCAACACAAATGCATTGGACAGAGCAGAGGACTGCTAGGTTCTTTAGGCCCAATTCACAAAGCTCTAACACAAGGATAAGGATCTGTGTTTTAGTCACATGACTGTCCTTTTCCAGTCTCATTGGACTAAGCTAAAATCTGTTTAATACGGATCCTTATGCTGGTATGTTAGCTAGTGGGGAGATTTGCCGTCCTGACGACACCCCCAGGCATTTTTGTGAACTAAACTTTGTTTTTTTTTTCCTTTTTGGAGTTCATTTTCCTTATATCCTTTTGGATATTTCCAGTAGGAGCTTTCCACACATTCCCCAGCCTCTAGAGCAGGGGTGTCAAACTGGCGGCCCTCCAGCTGTTGTAAAATTACAAGTCCCATCATGCCTCTGCCTTTGGGAGTCATGCTTGTAACTGGCAATCTTGCAATGCCTCATGGGACTTGTAGTTTGGCAACAGCTGGAGGGCCGCCAGTTTGACACCCGTGCCCTAGAGCAGTAGTGGGCAACTGTGGCACTCCAGCTGTCATGGAACTACATGTCCCATGAGGCATTGAAAGGCTGACTGTTGCATCATGTCTTGCAGAGGCATGATGGGACTTGTAGTACCACAACAGCTGGAGGGCCGCCAGTTTGACACTTGTGTACTAGAGCAGTGATGGGCAACTGCAGCCCTCCATCTGTCATAGAACTACATGTCCCATGAGGCATTGAAAGGCTGACAGTTGCATCATGTCTTGCAGAGGCATGATGGGACTTGTAGTTCCACAACAGCTGGAGGGCCACAGTTTGCCCACCCCTGCCCTAGAGGATTCTCCAGAGAAACTAGTTCAGTTCGTAGCAATAGCCTGGATAGGAAATGAGGGGAAATATCTTTAGTAGAGAACCCTTCCATACATTATTTAAAAAGTGAACCATCCGCAAACCCAGGTACTACAACTGAAATACATAAGCAGATGTTCCCTTCAATAAAGAGCTCTGCAGATTCAGGAAGGGAGAGGTGAGACCAGGCCAGGGGCGGACTGACAACTCACGGGGCCCCCAGGGCAATAGGGGATCATGGGGCCCCTGTGTCCTTGGCCAAACTCAAAAAAGCCTATGAAAAAAGTACCAGGGTCATCTCATGGGGCCCCCTACTGATCCCGGGCCCTCGGGCAGTGCCCGAGCTTCCAAATGGTCAGTCCGCCCCTGGACCAGGCCTGTTTTTTTCCAGGACAATTCCGCCTGTACTGGTTGCTTTTAACATGCAGTCTCACTGACGGTAACTCTGGATTATGCATCTTTATCATTTGCCCAGGATTATAACTCTTAGGTTATATGGGTTCTGGAAACCATAGACAATATGGCTTGTTTGGAATACACCACCAGCACTTGCCTGAGCAAGTCAGAATGTTCTGGATGTTTCAGTGACCAGATTGATGCCCAAAGCTTGCAGAGTCAACATGTTGGTTAATTTGGCTATAATGTTTCTAAAAAAAAAATTATATATATATATAAAAAATGTTTGTATTTCCCAAATAAACAGATGAAGCTTTGCCATCTTTGGGCTGCAACCTGTAGGCCTGTTTTGTGGATGAAGCCTCTAGCCTACATGTGATCATAATACCAGGCACTGCTCTCCTTGGGATTGGTTGCATGTGGGGGTGAAAATGGTTCAGTACAGCCAGGTCTAACAGGTAACAGTTGTTTACAGTTTCGGCTAAATGGTTAGCACTTCCGCCTGGCAGTACTCGGGTCGTTGGTTCGAATCCCAGCCACGGCATCACCTGCCTGGAGTTTGCATGTTCTCCCTGTGCCTGCGTGGGTTTACTCCGGGTACTCCGGTTTCCTCCCACACTCCAAAGACATGCTGATAGGTTAATTGGCTCCTGTCTAAATTGTCCCTAGTACGTGTATGTATGAATGTGAGTTGGGGACCTTAGATTGTACACCCCTTGAGGGTTAGGGACTGATGGGAATGTACAATATATATGTAAATTGATGGTGATATATAAGTACCTGAAATCAAATAATACCTGTCAGGGGAGGAAGGTTGCCATCCCGTCAGCACTAGGCATTGTTCAGGGGGATGATTGCAGGAAGGGGTTATTGTGTATCCCTGCACATGACCCGTGTGCTGTCAGCATTCATACATGATCATGGCCACAAGCTATAGACTCCACACTGGTTCTCTTGCAGCCAATCAGAATGTGTCTTTTCCTTGTACAGTGCAGGCTGGCTCTCCCTGTCCTCCCTCTTCTTCACGTTGTTCGATGGTTTCCTGCCTCTTACACAAGCAGTATTAGCGGGGTCCTCCGGTCCCTGTTGCACAATCAGAAGGGCTCGGTATATGCTGGGAAGTGAGAAGGGGGGTTCGGACAGTTGCTGCATTCCATACAAACATGAAAACTTTTCAGTTAGAAGCTAAATCCAGTTTGCTGCTCATTTTGAAAGCTTTTGCCTGACAGCACAAAGAGAACCTGTCACTTTATAACAAACCTAACAGTATTAAAGACAATCCTCATTAGCTTGCCGTAAGATAATAGACATTTTCTGCAGCATGCAGGGAAACAGGAGAACCTGGCGGCTCTGGGCACACAAACCGTCCCCGGTGAGGTCCCTCCGAGATGTAAAGTAAGTCAGCCATGTTGTGTGGAACGGTATGACTGCCAAGACATTCCTCCCTGGCAGAGAATGGGTTACAAGCTGGTGCAACTGTTAAATGAATATATATTATGTTCCTTCATGTGGAGGGAACCTGTGCCAAAGGGAATATCCTATTTACTGTATAAATCTCTATAAATATATATATATACTGACTTGGGGCTTGCAGTGCAGAGCCCTCACATTGTATCCAGTTTTTATTTGTTTTTATTGACAATAAAATGGTCATTTATATTAATATAATCCTGTGTTGTACAGCCTGATGTTTCCTAATCTAGATATTTGGCTTGTTGATGTGCAAGAACGGCACGGACCTGATTACAGTGTATTGTCATCTGGATGTATTAGGTACATTGACTTTGCAGTAGATGGAAACCCAAACTGGATGACATTTCATTTGCTAATGCACTGTGTATCCTAAACCATTTTCATGTGTTTTTTTTTTTTTTCTTTCTTCTAAAATGCTTTTTTTTCACCTTTCTTCATCCTTTGTTACATTTCAGTGCCTCTGATTTCCTGCAGCCGGTTCCTGTGTACATACACTCCAGGTGTGTATATGACATGGTGACAATGCAGGACCATAACTGGAAGACCTTTGTCAGGAAGTGCGTGAACAAGGACCTACATGGTAGGACTACATTAGAGGAGGGGCAGATGGGCGATTTTTTTTTCCCTTCCTCCAGTCACAGAAAGCCTTGCATTCAGTGAAAATAATACAT